ATTAGAGCTTAAATTCTGAGCACCAGGGGTACAGGAGGCTATAATTTATAGTGGGAGTCCCAGATCCATTTTTCACCTTCATTGAGTTCTTTCTGACCATTGATCAGCAAGGTGAAAAGCTTTTCTCTTCAGCAGAGTGTGTTGGAAAGTGGACTTCTGGGTGGGGCAGCCTAGCCCTTAGGTACTTGCCTGGGTGTCTACCCTTGATGGAACTTGTGGAGTACTAGGGTCATCTAGTCATGAGTCATATATATCCTGACTGCCTTCATCAAAGGGCCCTGAACCAATCTTACAAGCTTTTCTTGTCTGCAATAGGGTATGAATTCCAGTCATGGCCCCTTTCCCTCGTCTATGGTCCTGCTGGCCACTGTGAGGAATTGATCTTCTGCCAGTCATGATTTTGTGACGATATCCTTTGGTTTCCACATGCTACCTAAGCAGCATTTCTGTGAATCCTTTGACACCATTATGGCCTCGAACTGTTGGTCTCCCTCATCCAGATGCTTGATTTTTGTCTGCAGGGGCTTTCAACTCCTCAAAAGAGGTACAGTCTCTGAAACGCGCAGGAGCAGTTCTACCCTGTCCTATAGGGTCACTACGAGTCAGTACTGACTCGATGGCAGTGTTTGGGTTTTTAGTATGGTCTTACCTCTGTCCTGTTAAATAATAAATTTAAGTATTGTAAATGATATTTGAAGTTGGAGGGTCTCTTTTCTCCCCTAGAACACTTCAGGACTTTTCAGGAGTCTGGGTGGTACAAATTCAAGGTCAGTGATCCAAACCCACCTGCTGTTTCCCTGGGAACAAATGAGGCTGTCAGTCACTATATTTAGTCTCTAGGGAACCAGTGGAGAGGTCTGAGGGGCCAGCCCCAATCCCAATTACGTGGACAGCGGCCCCTTCCCCCAGAAGAATTTATTTCAGAGGACAGCACTGAAGCTGCAGCTCAGGGAGAAGGACAAGTCTGATCAGAGCACACGGGAGCAAATGATGGAGGAGGAAGAGAGAGTGAAGTACATCCTGGCCCACCAAGCCATGGCAACGATATTCCTGCTCAGAGCAGCCAATCCATAGAGAGGACCATATGGCTGGCCCCATTAAGAGACAGGACATCCCTCACTGACCCATAGCCCTACAGGGGACAACACTGGAGACACAGTGTGGGAATTCTGCCCAATCTGATCCTACCACACTGAGGCAAAACACTAAGGGTGTGCAACAGAACAGCAAAGGGAATAGAGCAACAAAGTCCCCAGGGAATACCACAAATAGACTTAGGGGCCAGGGCTTGGCACCCCATCAGACTCGACCAGAAAACACTCCTGAAGGCCAATAAACAGTCCTTGAACTAACTACAAGATTTTCTTTTTTGTTATTGAATTGTTTTGCTTGTCATTGTTTTTGTTGTTGTTGTTGTTGTTTTGTTTTTTCTTCTTTTGTTGCTTGGTTTTGCTCTGTCTTGTTTTTGTGCATCTTATTATCTCCGTAGGTCTGTCTAAATAAGATAGGCTGGATGAACAATCTGGAGGAGAAAACAGAGAGACATGGGAGAGGGGGAGGTGGGGAGAAAGGAAGTGGTGTTAACAAACGCAGGGACAAGGGAACAACAAGTGATACAAATCGGTGGTGAGGAGGGTGTAGGAGGCCTGGCAGGGCATGATCAAGGGTAATGTAACCAAGAGGAATTAGTGAAACCCAAATGAAGGCTGAGCATGATGGTGGGACAAGAGGAAAGTAAAAGGAATTAGAGGAAAGAGCAAGGAGGCAAAGGGCATTCATAGAGGTCTAAATACAGGGACGTACATATGTAAATATATTTATATATGAGGATAGGGAAATAAATTTATGTGCATATATTTATAGGTTTAGTATTAAGGTA